GCCCGGGATGGTGTTTTGGGGGTGGTCTGTGCTACCCCTTCCACCTCAGCTATACGGGCCTTAAGAAAACTGCAGGCAGGGGCCGGCATCCCTGGCTGCATTTGCTTTTTCTCTTTGTAACTGCAGAGGGAGTTTGAGCCCTGCACAGCGCAGAGCTCAGGCCGGGCTTGGCCGCACAGCTCCCGCTCTCCAGGTTTGCCCAGTTTGCTCAAGCTGCTGACGGAGACGTCCCTAGGACGTCTGTCTGCCTGTACTAGAGAGATGGGGCTGAGCAGGCGTTTTTCTCTCAGCTCCATCCTTCCCCCGGCTCTGCAGAAGCCGAGTCGCGGAGCACGCAGCCGTCCGGCACCTTTTCTGCCCAGCAAGTTCCCCGTTTCGTTCAGTGAAAGAAAATGGGATGAGCTGGCATTTTTTTAAATTATTTTTTTGCTGGAAGCCAGGGCTGCTGTGCTAGCTGGACATCCCCAAACTCTGCCTGTAACCTGCCCCCAACTCCATCTTCAGCTCCCAACCCACGTACTCGTTGTTGCAAATCTACGCGGCAAGCCAGAGATTCTCCTTGGCTCTTGGCGCTGGAAGGCAGGTTCCTGGTTTTAGCGATATGACGCGTGGTCGAGCTCCAGATGGTCATGTTGTTTCTCACGCTCTTTTCTGGCTACCAAAGGTGCAGATTATTAATAAGAAGCTGGACTTTAGCAGCGTTCAATCCAGGTGTGGCTCAAAGGATAATATCAAACACATCCCGGGAGGAGGCAGTGTGAGTACCTTCACACTTTCAATGCACTATAATAGTTCTGATGATACGTGGCATGTTGTATACACTAAACTGCCAATGCTATCTGCAGCGACCCTGCCGTGAGATAGCTATTGGTGACGTGCAATGACTCTTTTCTGGCTACCAAAGGTGCAGATTGTTAATAAGAAGTTGGACTTTAGCAGCGTTCAATCCAGGTGTGGCTCAAAGGATAATATCAAACACATCCCGGGAGGAGGCAGTGTGAGTACCTTCACACTTGGAATGCACTGTCATAATCCTTATTCTTTAGTGGCATGTTGTACACACTAAATCGCCAATGCTATCTGCGGCTGTCAGATAGCCATTGGTGACGTGCTGTCATTTAACCCCATTAACCCCCCAAAGACATGGTTAGATGAACCCTAACAAGTCCTGGACATGCCTGACATGGACAGAACTAACCGCCCCGCGTGTGGAAACCATGTCTGTAACAAAACATCCCGTTAACTCGAAGGTTTTACACTACCTGGAAGGCTTTAACGCCTCGCTGTCTGCGGGCTGGGCGACCTCCAGCAGACAGGGATGCGGTAGATGGGTAGATTTGTAAAAAAAAAACGCACTCCTTGTGGCTTAATGTACTGCTTAACCGCACGTGACTCCGTGCAACACGTGAAAGCGCAAGTTCCTGCCCATTCCCATCAGGCAAGTATGATCCCTGCAAATATTCAGCTTCTCCTTGCTAACGACTGTGCCCAGCAGCGCCCAGGGAGGCTGAGCCTAAAGTAATATCGAGTTAATCGATCCAAACGCGGGTGTTTCCAGCCGTTCCCAGGTAAATCGCCAGATTCGGTCATCAGTTACTGTGCCAGAAACCTGGAGAAACTCCGCAGAGGTTGGCGGATTTACGCCTGTCTCTCTGGAGACAGAGTTTTGAGTCCAGGAACGATGACGGACCAAGGAAGGCGCATCGCTGAGACCACAAACGCTGCGGGCCAGGGTCTGGGGTTGCCTGGTCTCCGGCCTTCTGAGGAAGCTCCCTGGTGCCTCTCAGATGTTCCCGCTGGGTTTACTTTGTGCTTTTTTTGATCTCTCTGGGCGCCCTCCCTGAGAAACCGAGCGTTGCAGAGGGCTTGGCACGTAAACGTCAGGACGTAACTGGGTTCGCAACCTCCGTCCTAAATTTGATGTGGTCCTGCGTTTATTTAACGGGCTGGAGGAGCTGCTTGGCGGAGGGCACGCCTCTGTGAAGCAGGTTCCCTGCTTGTTCTGCTCTCT